ATTGTATTCTTATGATCTTCTATCTTTTTCTTTAGTGCTCTAAATACTGTTTGCTTGTGTATTTCGATGTTATTTGTATTGAATTGTTTTTTTTATTTTTTTATTTTTTGTTAAAGGCCATATTTGTAGTGATACTTTATTAACTTATATTGAGTTAACTATTAAAATTATTTTTACAGAGATGAGAGTACAGCTAGTTACACATGCAACTTTTGATTGCCTATTTAAGTAGTCTGCCCTAAGATTCTATATCAGATAATATACTTATAATCTACTAGGAGATTATTCATTTAAACTCTTTAATCATCCACTTTGTCATATTGGAATCCCAACTTACCTTATATATACCTAATTAGTATACTGTCTGAGCAGTATAATACCTATCTTTTTTGTATAATTTCTAGGCTGTTACATATTCAGAGTATGTCACCTACCAGTAAAGCACAGGAGGCCCTTTATTGTTAACTATCTACTTACTTTTAGAACACTAATATAGGCTATCCTTACAAAGTTCATCCAAAGCCTAGTACTAACTTCACAGCATATTTCTAGTACTTTTAGTATATTCCTGCTTTAAATCCAGACTTCCAATCCAGATAGTCCAGAAGGACTATAACCTGTCCTTAATATATTGAGGCTGACTCAATATCTTTTTTCTCTGATCCAAAATCTGACAGCCTGGTTGGTAGTATTCCTTATTCAAGGTTCTTGCCTACTTGATTCTTTTACATTGGTATTCATTTCCTAGATCTAGCTTTTATAGTAGTACTGTCAAAGATCTATGTTATCTCTCTGTTCAGAATTTTCAAGTAAGCTTCAGCTTCTCAGTTTTATGAATTTACATGACCCAAGAACTTATTTTAGATTTGTACTACCCAATACTGATTTGCATTTCTCTGTATAACAGATTACACAAATGCTCCAGACCTGCCAGTTATACTGGTATGATTATAGTTACAGATATCCTATTATAACTGATCGACAGAATGCTATTATTGTAATACTGTCTATATATTATATAGGTAATTATCCAAATTTCACTGGCAGTAGGTTTTGAACTCACAACCTACCATTTGGAGATATGACAACTTATTTATTTTACTAAGTCATCATATCCTTTAACAGAATTGTTAAACTGATAAAAGCTTAAAAACTACTCTTAAAAGAATAAGCAAATAAATCAAATAATAAATATATAAAAGAATTATATATACTAATTAGGTTGCTAAAATTGCTAAAGAAAAAAAATATATAAGTATATGGAGATGTATTAATAGAAACTAATCAAATTATTTTTAGTACATTTTTTTAAAATTTTAAATTAAAATATCTTAACAACTATTAAACCAATTTTGATGAAATTTTTTTTCTTTTAATTTTATAACTATATAAAATTAAAATAAAAAAATTTTTATCAATTTTGGTTAAATAATTGTTGAGATATTTTAATTTAAAATTTTAAAAAAATGTACTAAAAATAATTTGCTTAGTTTCTATTAACATACTCTTATATAATATCAGATTATTTGAATTACTAGTTTGAAAAGTTTTATCAGTTCTAAATAGTAATTAATAAAGAATAATAAAAAAATATTAAAAAAATATGTATTAAAATTTGAATTAACTTTATAAAAATATAGTAGCAAATACTAATTTAGATTAAAGTAATATTAAATTATCTATAAGTATAGAATACAAAAAACTTTAGTAGATTTAGTATAAAATTGAAAATTTCTCAATAAGTAAACTGCTTTAAAAACTTCATTATTATGATATATTTGCATTAATATTAACTAAAACAGTTTGTAGAATAAATAGATAATAGATATAAAAAAATAATCTATTTAAATTAAACAATAATTAAAGATATATAAGTAACTAGTTATACACTTTTTTTATAATTGTTCTGTAATTGTTATATAAATAGCTATTAACTAAAACATACTATTAATAAAATTTTAGATCATAAGTATTCACTTTAATACTAAAAAAAAATTTAATTATATATTAATTATAAAAAAGATACTATAATTAATTTATAATAAGTATCATTATTCTTATTGTTATTATTGTTAGAGTTAAATATAAAAGTAAAGATTAGTCTAAATTTAGATTATATAAAATTTTCAAAAATTTTGAACATTTTTATTTAATTTATCTAATTTCTGCTTTTTAATATATTTTATAAAATATAGCATTATAGATAATAATTACTATAAATAATAATTAGTAATATTTTTAATTATAAATATAACAATATATTAAAGTTAATAAAAACTTATATAAAATTATATATTAATAAAATATTTATAAAATTATAATAAAATATATATTAAAAGAGAATTGTTATATATTGCTACCTCTTATTTTTGCTAATACTACTTCTTTACTTAATCTGATTGGTCTCTAATATTTCTAATCCTAATTTTTAATTAGAATTAAACTATATAAAAAGTGACATTAGCAAAAATAAGAGGTGGCAATAACAATACCTTAGTAAAAAATAACTTAAAATCTACTATATATAATATAAAAAAATTATAAATAAATTAATAAAATTTAAAAATTTTTATATATAAAAAAAAATATTTTTTAGTTTTAATATATGTATTAGAAGTGATAAAATAAGATATAATTAAAATGAAATTAGATATCTGCAAAAATAATAATTATAAAATTTATACAAAAAAAACTAAAAATTAAAATAATAATAATTTTTTTATATCTAGTGAATATATATAATATTAAATTAAATCATACTAATATATTCAACACCACATACAAGTTAAACAAATAAATAAAAAATGAATAATAAGTAAATGACAGAAAAAAATCTATCATTATTCTACCTTATATCCACCAAATAATGACAACATAACAGTAACATAACAGCAGAATAACAGTAAAATAATAAAAGGTTTATCAACATGAATAACATAATAAATAATAATATATTAGCAAAATAATAGAACAATTCTATTATTTTACTTTTAATTACAAAAACTAAAAGTAAAATAATAGAACTGTTCTATTATTTTGTTAATATATTACTATGCGGATATAGAGTAAAATAATGACAGATTTTTTTTCTGTTATTTATCTATTATTCACCCATTATTCATTTGTTCGACCTGTGACATATCCGTGTATTTTGACTAAAGATATAGGTTTAGAGTTAGCTTTTTTGAGATGAACATTTTTTTTAGTACCCCTGACATATGTTAGCTAGTACGTTTTTGATATATAGCAACTATGGTGTTGAACACCACTGGTGAGACTTAGTAAAGCTCTTAAATTAAGTTTTTATACTAAAGTTAATATAGCTAATATTTATCGAATTCTATACTTGTATACGTATATATACACATTAGTATTATTTAGAACTAATGAAAATAAAAAAGGGGTCATAAAAAAAAAATTCAAATACGAATATTTAAATGTACTTATAAAATAGTTTTTTTTTATAAATACCAGAATTGTTCGAAATGAAGAGATTAGTATAGAGTTGAATGGGCTTTTTATATTAATAAAATAGGCAGTATAATACTATTGACCACTGCATACAGTATCCCGGGTACTCTTCATGAATCAGGTGATCTTATTAATAAAGAAGGGGTATTTATTTTCGGGGATACTGTATCATGGTTTTTTTTTACGTATGATAATATTACAAAGTCAGCATATAATACAAATACTAGTACGTACATACTCAGCCTATTGTTCTATTCATAGTGCACAACCACATGCTTAGAATTTACTTACCCAAATTTAGATAAAAGCCAATTTTTATCTTCCTAAAAATAAGGCAATAACGTTATATAAACAATGACCATATCAACATTGAAACATTGGAGCACATGAGGGACTGTTTTCCGATTTTAGCAGGTAAATTAAAATGTCCACACAAAAAAATAAAGATCGTTTAATCACAGCCAAATTTGATTAATTAATACATTATATATATTAAAATTTTAAATATATAGTATATATGCGCAATATCGGATGACGCAAAGGGAAAACCGGGCTTCGATCGTACGTTTTTTCTTGACGTCACCTATATGTGTGTTATTAAAACTCTTTTAATCAAATTAATATAATATATACGGAGATGTTAATTAGCATTATAATAATCATGATTTTTTTTTTTATGATCATCGGGGTAATTTTACAACCGGCATCCTGCGATAGAACGTAATACGTCATGCCCGATCCGGGCTCTAACACTAAAATTTCATATTATGCAAACATTTTGCGTTATCATTAATATAAATCCTTTGGTTTTATTGGTTTATGACTCAGGATTTTAGGTTACCTGACTGAATAAGGGGAATAGTGTTACACATGTAATTAACGTTAATCCCCTGATATTCGAGTCCGAACGTATATTTTATTTAGCCAATAATTGGTGTCCAAAACGTAAATTTGTGCAGTATTTGTGCTTAATCTGCAAGATGCTTTTGCCCACCATTTTTCTTCGCTTTTTTTCTTTCTCTTGGAAGAGTATAGATAAATACCTAGAATTATAGAAGGGAATTCGGGTCTCCCTCAATATTACTTGCCTGTCCTGTGTTTGAACATATCATTTCGCTTTTCTTTCCTTTCACCACTTTTTCCGCACAGTACAATCTCGATCTTAATTCTCGTCGGTATGCATCTTATCGAGGCAACAGTAACTCCTGTTACAACAAATAGTCACATACTTTCTATACATGAACACCATTGCCAAGTACTCCAAAACCGCCAACAAAATAGACGACAAACAATAGAAAATAGTATTAATATATCAACATTTGAACCAACTGAAACACGAATGGAAAACCTTGATAATAAAAAGTCAGGCCCTCACGAGGGTTATGTGTTAGTGACTGGTGGTGCTGGTTACATTGGAAGTCATACCGTTTTAGAACTTTTAATATGTGGTTATAATGTCGTTGTTGTAGATAATTTGTCGAATGCATGTGAAGGTTCGTAACTTTCCTTAATGGGTTTAATATTAAATTAATCTCAAAATTATTTATTCTTTTGTTCCATATTAGAATCCTTAATTCGCGTTCAAAAGCTTGCAAGACGACCATTGAAATTTCATCATGCAAATATTTTGGATGAAAAGACATTAATCCCAATATTCGAAAAATATAATATTTGGGCTGTTTTACATTTTGCTGCTCTTAAAGCTGTTGGAGAGTCCACAAAAATTCCACTCGACTATTACTGGAATAATGTGACTGGTTCGTTGAATTTGTTTAGAATAATGGAACGATTTGGTGTTTATAATATAGTATTCTCTAGTAGTGCTACTGTATATGGTCATCCAGATACAATTCCTGTAAATGAGAAATGTAGCTTAGGCCCAGTTACAAATCCATATGGCAAGACAAAGTTATTTATAGAGGAGGCAATACGAGATATGTGTGCTGCAAATAATAAATGGAATGCCATACTTTTAAGGTAAAAAAAATTTGTATCATTTTATATTTTTATCGATACTATTCTTACCGTATATGTCATTTTTATTATATATATAGATACTTCAATCCTACAGGTGCTCATCCATCTGGTATTATTGGAGAAAACCCTCGTGGCATTCCAAATAATCTAATGCCCTATGTAAGTCAAGTTGTTCAAGGTCGTTTACCTTTTGTTAATATTTTTGGCGGTGATTATGACACAGTTGACGGTACAGGTAATGTACATATATTTTTTTCATTTAATTATTTCACTTTTATCTATGTTGAAATTATTAAATTTTAAAACCCTATTTTATAATAAATAGGTGTAAGAGATTACATTCACGTTTGTGACTTAGCGACAGGCCATGTGGCTGCACTTCGAAAATTAAAAATAAAACCTGGCTGTGTAGCTTATAATCTTGGTACAGGTGTTGGATACTCTGTTCTAGAAATAATTCAGGCCATGTCAAGAGCATGTGGTAAAGAGATTCCTTATAAAATCACAAAGAGGCGTCCTGGTGACATCGGTGTTGTAACAGCAGATGCAAGTCTGGCAAATGTTGAATTAGGTTGGTACCCAAAGTATAACCTAGATCAGATGTGTCAAGATCTTTGGCGATGGATTGAATCCAATCCATTAGGATATCCAGAGCCATCCAATGAAGCAAAACAAATTTTACAAAAACTATCAACTTGATTTAATCTAATATTCATTACAATCTTTAGATGATTTTTAAAAGTTTATTTGTGGATTTTTTTTTTTTTTTTTTTATAGACAATTCTACCAAAAATACTTTATTTTAAAATTTATTATTTAAATTCAAATTATACATAATCTTAATAGTAGTAGTAATAATTTTCCTTTAGAAATCACAGGACTCCAACTTATTAAAATTTGCAGTTTATTGTGATCAACTGTATTATAGATATACCCTTTATAGCTTATATAATTCGAAACAAATTAATTGAAAGAAATTTATTTTGTTTGAATATTATTTAATTTTTATTCACTTATTCCTGTTTGATAAAAAAAATACTATTGATTAAAGTTGATCAATCACGTATCTGCTGTCTATAAATTCTTTATAATAATGGTATGCTATTGTGCCTTGTATTCTTTTTGAAATGATCAGAACCAACTATAATAGCAATAGAAATCCATTATGTATCATATTAATACGATAGAAATTTCAGTTGGATAGATCGCCTTATTCAGTTGTCAATTGATACGTTTGGACCAAATCTTGGACATGTTATATAGGAAAAAGAAATTCCTAATTTTAAAATAACAGCTTGATTCAATTCATTAAGCACAACTTTATAAAAGTATAAACATGCTTAGAAATTCTCGAAAGTTGAACATGTAAAAAAAGGCCCTGGACATCAAGATGTATACTCTGGCCTTAGTGACAGACTGATCAAACTGATGGACATTGAATAGAACTAAAGTGTCCTCCGCTCTCTTTGAACAATCAATATCGCTTAATACGAGGCTGCTTTAATATTCTTACAGCATCCTTAGAGAACACATAACTTATACCAGACCAAATCGTTGTTCCAGCAACAGTATACCTATGAATTTTCATTCATGAATTATGTAAAATAACCATAATAATAATAATAATAATAACTTAAAAATATCATCGAATTTTTATTTATGTACATACTGTAATGCTTTCAAGAATGGAACATCGATCCAACCAAATACTGGACTAGATAGCGTCGTACCCATAAGCGCTAATTGCAAAGCGGTATTCACCTTTTTCAGGTATATTAAAATTTGAAATTAATGATTTAGTGCGTGATATTCATCCAAAAAATTGCAATGAACCATACTTTACTAATCAGAGTCGGTCTGACTTCTGCTGATGGGATTGATATATCGAAATATCTGGATAATGTTTTCTAAAAAAAAAGTTGTTTGTTAATTTCTTAATTAATTTCGTAAATTATAAATCAAGAAGACTTTACCGGTGACGGAAGTGAAACATATCTATAATAAAAGGTCGCTGCAATTAGGCAGAAATCTCGACCTAAAATTATAGTCGCTATTGGTACTTTAAAAAAAAAAAAAAAAAAAAAATATATATATATATATATATATAGTCAAATTTTTTTGCTCTAGAAAATAATTAGGTACAATATTTTGACAATTAACTTTACTTGGTAACAAGTCTTTCATGGCTAAAGTAACCGTCAGAATGGTAATTAATGTTTTATCTGCTAATGGATCTATAACTGTCCCTACCATAGTTTTCAGGTTATAATGTCGAGCTATAATTCCGTCTAACTACAAATTTAAAATTTTTTATCTTGAAATTGGAATATGATCCACATTGTCATATTCTGATAAGCTTATAATCTCAAGTTCCATACCAAATCAGTAATACCAGCATACACGAATGCACCTAACGCAATCTCATATTGCTCATTCAAAATAAAGTATCCAACGAATGGTGAAACAATTAGCCTAGAAAACGTAAGCACATTTGGAATATTTAAAAGGGTTTCTCTTAAAGGTATCTTTTTGAGCTTACAAATATAAAATCAAATCAATTAGCTCTTAATGAAATATTTTACTATTATTTATTAAAGTTTATACCTTTGTATAGTTCTTGGGTGAAACTTTATCTGCGTAGTGACGAAAAACGAAACCTAAAAGCGGCGAAAGACGAAAGACGAAGTCCTGACGAAACCTCAAATTTCTCTGGTGAAAGACGAAACTTAAAATCGGAAATGACGAAGGACGGAACCTGGCGAAACCTTTATGAAAGTCAGATTTAAAAAGATCAAGAGAAATACTGAGCTATAATTAGTAAGCCATTTCTTTTCACAATATCAAAATATGCCCTTACCTTTCATAGATTTCTTTATTATTTATTCTTATCGTTATAGTTTATTTTCAATATTATTTTTGTTTTAGACTCGAAAAGTTATAAAGTATTTGAGTGATAATCTAGTAATTAAAGGGTCGCCAATCATATTTCAAATTTCTTTTTTTTTGGTATAATAATATTAGTTTCAAGTACTTATTGGTTCCATAACTTGGTAATTATATTGACAAAAAATATATAAAAAAATAAGATTTATAAAAAATATCAATAAGAATAAATATTAATATTATTATAAACTAGAAATATACTAATTTTACAAAAAACTAATTCAAGAATTAGTTTTTGTAATAAAATTAATAAAATCAAAATTAAACTAATTAAACTAAGTGGGGTGTGGCGACCTAGTGAAGTGGTCAGGTTGTCAACCCTCCAAGTGGTAGGTTGGGTGTTCAAATCCCATTGACAGCGAAAATTTGAATAATCACCTATGTAATATTCATATTATGGCAACTGTTATTAATGATTAAGTTAGGATACCTGTAATGGCAGTTACACCAGCATGACTGGCAGGTTATGGAGCATCTGCACAATGTTGAAGTTACACAGAGGAATGCAAACTGACATATCAGATGATACAAACATTAGATAAGTCCTTGTAATTATGTAAATTTGTTGAAATTAGATAACAAGAAATCCATTTAGAAAGATCTAAATAGAGAGGTAGTTAGATTTTTGACAGTCCTACTGTAAAGGCTAGTCTGAGAAAATGGATACCAAGGTCTAATACCTGGTCCTAGTAGCTGGATAAACAAGAACCTCTAAGTTGGGAGTCTTAGAGGTATTATCAACTAGGTCATTGGAATAAATCAAAGAAAAAAGATATTAGGTTGACCTGATATACCAATAGACTGATCATAGTTCTATACAGGTTATCTGGATTGGGAGTTTGGTAAAAGAATAGGAGAAAAGATAGGGGCATACTAAAATATTGAGGTTATGCTATGAAGTAGATGCTAGAGTCTAAGTGAACTCTACAAGAACATAGCAGTTTAATAATTAGCCCTGATTGCAAGTGTTGGTTCTGTTATAGCAATACTTAGATTAGTTGTAAAAATAGATACAAAAGGTTCTGGAAGGTTTATCTCAAGAATAAATTAGTCCTAAAGTTGAAGACGATGATCTGAAATATCTGAGATGATCAGTAATGTTAACCCAAGTTACAGGTTCAGAGGATTCAAAATAAAACATCTAAACAGGTGTGTTAGATATGACAATTGGTAGAAAACCTTTAGGTGGACTTCTTAAATAGATAATATAGAAAAGTTACATATGTAACCAATTGTACACTCTTTTGTAGTGGTTCATTGAACCACAATACTAATAAGTGATTAATAAAAGTCAAAAAACCAAAGAAGTCATCTTAATATCAAAAAAAAAAAAACCTAATTAAACTAGATGTAGTAACTTAGTGAAGTAGATAAGTTGTCAACCTTCCAAGTAATAGATAGTGAGTTCAAAACCTCTGACAGTGAAAATTTGGATAATTACCTATATAATATATAGACAGTATTATAATGATAGCATTCTGTTAATCAGTTAGAATAAGATATCTGTAACATAGTCACATTAGTATGACTAACAGATCATGAGTTATCTGCACAATGTTAGAGTTATACAGAGAAATACAAATCAGTATTGGGTAGTACAAACCCAAAATAAGTCTTCATGATCATATAAATCTATAAACTAAAAAGTCAAAGCTTATTTAAGAAAACCTAAATAGAAAGATAATACAGAACTTTGTAAATATTACTGTAAAGGCAAAACTTAGGAAACAGATACCAATGTAAAAGAAATCAGGCAGACAAGAATCTTGAATAAGAGATACCACCAACCAGGCTATTGGAAGTCTTGAATTGAAGGAAAAAAATCTTGAAAAACAGATTCTGAGATATCAAAAACAGGTCATAGTTCTTTTGAACTATCTGGATTAAAAGTCTGAATTCAGAAACAGGAATATACTATAAATACTAAGGATATGTTATAAAATTGGTGTTGGGGTCTGAGTGAACTCTGCAAGGGTAAGCCTTGTTAATAAAGATTAAATATAAATAGTTAGTTAGCAGAAGAATATTCTTTAGCCTTACAATTAGATAATATACTTTGAAATATATAATGGCTTAACAGACATACAGAAAGAGAGGTCAAGATTAGGTTAGATGGCATCTAATATAGGTATATAGGAACTTGTATGCTGTCTGTTAGTATAGTATAAAGATCAGAATGTTTAAAATAGGTAATCTTCTAGTAGATTGCAGGTATGACAGCTAGTGTAAAACCTGCTATGCAGGTGAACTACTTAAATTAGATAACCAAAAGTTGTATAAGTGGCTAGTTGTATACTCACTTGTACAAGTTATATAATCATAATTAAAAATATAATAAAGACAGTAGTTACTAATAATTATGACCTTAGCAAAAGCAAAAAAAAAAAAAAAAACCTAATTAAACTGATTTAAACTAGTTTTTTATATTATTTATAATATTTAATTAAATTTTTTAATTATCATATTACTTTTTCTAATAATTACTTAAACCAAACTTTCCAAAAAGCTAAACTACAGAAAAATGATATAATTAATATATTAAATTTTATAAAAATCTTTCTGAAATACTATATACACATATTATTAACCATTGAAATAGAGTTAAAAAAGAGTCACAGCCTTGTGATAACAGTTTAAAGAGCACTCTAAGACTATAAAAGAAGTAGTTAATAAAAACCAATAAAGTTAAATATATTAGTTTTATACAATTATAAAACCTACAAGAAATACTTACAAGAATTAAGAACTTACAAAATCTAAAAGTTAGTTCACTTAGCACTTCTACTTTTTTTTAAGAAAAAATTTGTAAAAGTAAATGATTCAATTTACTTTCTTTTAAAGATTAATACATAAAATTATCAAAACAGTCAGCAGTGTTTACCTTCTAAATAAGATTGTTGATAATGTAAATTAGAAATAATACAGCAATACAAATATAATTATATATGTGCTTTGAGTTGCTAAAAGCTTTTCAAACATTGCATTCAGACTAACCAGTATCTTATATTAACTTTCTATAATAAAGTTAAAATTTTTTTTATTCTTTTGGTTTTTTGTTTAAATAATCTAAGTAAATAGGAAGATAGTAGAATAATTATTATTTAGTATAGTTTATAATTTTTATAAGCCTGGTACAGGCTTATAATTGTGGTTGTCTGATATCTATAAAGTGCAAGTTTCATACCTAATATAGGCTTAAAATCATAATCATTTAATTTTTTGTAAATTACAAGTTTTATACTTTTCTTTTTTCTCATTTATCTTTTTTTCTCTTTTTATTTTTTATTTTGTATCTTTTATCATATATCTCTATATCTTTGTTTTTTTTTTTTTACATATAAAATTCTTTTTTTGTTTTTTTGCTTTTCTATAAGAAAATGTTATTAGATTGATAATATGCTATTGTAGAGTGGCAGTCAAATAAGCAGTCTATTTCTGTTTGAGATAATATGACAGATTACACTTAGATACCAATAAGGTAGTCAGATGATGCTAGACTTAAATATTGGAAAAATTCTTTGTAATCTGTATAGTATCAAGAATTTTAATAAAATACTAGCATGACTGTTTAAATTAAAAAAAAAAAAGTATATATAAAATACACCAACTAATAATAAGTTTGGTGAAGCAAAAGAACAACCTACAAAGAATATTAAAAAACTATATAATAAAATACAAAAATCTTGGAAGCTATAGAACATTATAATAAGAATTAGTAATAAAACAAATAAGTAGCTTATTAGCAAGACTAAACAAATAAAACAGTCTTGAATAGTTAACAAAATTAAGAATAATACAAGGCTGCCAAAGAGCAGGTTTAACAAAAAATATATAAAAAATAAAAGAAATACTAAAAAACATAAAAGATTAAAAAAATAATTTAGTTTGTCTAATATTATTAAAAGCAAAAAAGCTTAATATAAATATAAGAATAAAAAATAACTTATAGACAATGCTTAAATATAGAACTAAAGTAAAAGAACTTATAGATATATGATTATGAAAAAAAGTAAAACTAAAATAAATGAAACAGTTTTAATATACCTAAATCAGCTGCTTGATATACAAAAAAAATATTAATTATATAGCAATAGCTAAAAAGTTATCAAGGTTTATCAAGTAAAGAAAAAAAGCAAAGTAATTCAAAATAATAAAATTAGAAGTGCTCAATAGACCAAAAAGCAAAAAGGTCAAAAGACATTTTAAAACAAACAGATGAAATACTCAAATAATACAAATAAGTTAAAAGTATATTTCAGAAATAAAAAAAGAAAAGAATAATAGCACATAGTATAAAAATTATTTACAGTTAAAAAAGATAGTTAAAAAGAAACAGAAAAAACTATTAGTAAAATATTAGTAAATGCAGAGTAAAGAAAGTGAACTAGCTATTGAAATTAACAAAAGTAAAAGTTGTACAAAGAATAAAGAATATTTAAAAGATAGCTGCTAGTAGTAAATAAGAATAAATAACAGAATCAATATAATTTCAGATATATTAATAAAAAAAAGTAGTAACAAGATCAAGATAGTAATAAATCAAATAACAAAAACAATAAAGATAAACAAACTAGTAATTAGAAAACAGAAA